GGGAGGGGGAGGAGATCTCTGCTGAAGCGGCCTGCAGTGAGGAGAGACGACGGCAGAGCTAAGCCAGGGCTGCCCATGGACTGTACACATGGGCTGCAGGGGACAGCCAGGCTAGAACGTGGAACCCTACGCCCTTGCTACTCGGCCTCCATCAGCTGGTTCTAGTCTAGGGCTGCTGCTTTCAAACTTTTTTCTTCTCCTGACCCAATTAAAGAAAATCGTTGGTGTCTGTGACTCAGCGTAATGTAACTGGAGTATGGGCTCTGGGGTGGGGCTGAGGAGGAGAGCTTTGGGGTGCAGGAAGGGGTTCCGGCTGGGGGGGGCAGGGCTGGGGCAGAAGGGACTTACCTCAAGTGGCTCCCGGTCAGCAGTGCAGTGGGGGAGGGGGGGCGCTAAGGCAGCTTCCTGCCTCTCCTGGCACCTCAGACCATGCTGCACCCCAGGAGCAGCCAGCAGCTGGTTCCCAGCCAATGGGAGTGCAGCGCTAGAGCTCGGGGCAGGAGCAGTTCGTGGAGCCGTGCCCTTCCCTCTGCTCCCCACACATCCCTAGGAGCTGGGCCTGCTGCCAGCTGCTTCTGGGGCACAGCACAGTCTGTGGTACGAGCAGAGGCAGGGAGCTGCCTTAGCCCCGCCCCCGGTAACCTGAACCCCCTGCAGCAACGAGGCCCAGGTCGTTATTCCACCACCCAGGACTGGCCTCAGGCCTCCCCCATAACTGGCAGCTCCGGGTCCATCCAGGAGAGGGCAGTATCGCGCACACAGCGCAGCGTGTTATCTTACAACAGTCAACACAAGCACAGGGCTTCTCATCCATCCTTCAGCCAGACCGGACCATGGTCGTTATCTGCTCTGCTCTCCGTTACAGGCCAGAGAACTGCCCCACAGGATCTCCCCGGGCACAGCCTTCCTTCTGAAGGAGCCCAAACCACTGTACGCCTCCACCTGCCACTAAAATGCAGCCACCTCTGGGGGGCACACGGCAGCTGTGGGACAGTCGTGAAGCCTCCCACGGCCAACTGAAAGTGCTGGGGGAGGATCAGGGTGGTGGAGCGTAGCTGCAGCCTGCCACAGAGCTCAAATCCTCATTCCATGTGTTTGACAACCTCCACAAACCACCCGTGTGCAGACACCAACTTCACCTCCCCACAGCCCGTCGGGTCCCCATAAGCAGGCATCGCGGAGGCTTGGGGCTCGGCCACACTGAAAATCAAGTCACTGGGGCAGCCGAGAGGATAACTTTCAGGTCACCCAGTCTGAATGCTAGAAACCTAGGGCGGGAAGAACCTCCTGAGGCCATCAAGCCCCTGCCTGCCTGACAAGTCACAAACAAAGGCAGCAGCCAAGCGGCGACTAAGACCAGAGAGTGCAAGGAAAGGCCTGGGGACAAGAACTCAGCTGTTACAGGTGTTCTGAGGGCACTGGGAGCGATGTTGCCATTGAGATGCCCGCTGGTGGCCATTGGGATAACAATCCAGACTGGCTGTCCCTGCAGCGTCACGGCTACGCTGCAAGGCAAGGTGTGACTGTAGCACTGGTAGGCACGCTGTACTAGTGTTCATCCGGCTCGCCCAGGCAACACGTGGCAGTGTGGGCTAGCAGCCAGCGCACGGCCCCCGTGGGTAGCTCTGCTGCTGGATCTTCGCTGCTATTGTTACCCACAGGAGCTAGACGAAACCTGGCTGGAGCCGTCTGCCTGTGCTGGAGTCGCACCTCCCTTCACGGTGTAGGCAGGCCCTACAGATGCTCTAGGTCAGTGCTTCCCAATCTTTTTTAAGCTGGGGACCAGCAAACCCATTCATAAACCTTTGGCAGCCTAGTATTTTATTTGCATATTTACATATGCATTATGCAAATCATGAATATGCAAATACAATATTACCTGACCACCGAGCCCCTTGCTCCCCAGTGTCTAACACCCTTTGAACCCCAACCCTATGTCCCATGCCCTTTAACCTCTGACCTCTATAGCCCATGCCAATACCTTCTTGCCCTGTGACCCCACCACTCCCTCACCCAACACCCCTTTGCACCCCCAACTCCAACACTCCCCAGAGCGAGGCTCCAGCCGTTGGCAGCGCATGCTCCCTCCTCCTTCGCGCCCCCTCCCCCCCAGCATGTCTTGTGCCCCATGGGTGGGGGGCAGAGCCCCAGCTGGCTGCCATTCCTGAGGAGAGAGCGAGACACCTCCTCAGCCCTAGCGCCGCCACCAGCAAAAGCGGCCACGTGGGCAGGGGGAGCGGCCGTTGGCGGCGCGGATGCTCCTTCCTCCTTTGCGTCCCCTCCCTTCCCAAGTGCAAAGGAGGGAGGAAGGGGCCTCCTGCCATGCCTCAGCCACCATGCGGGGAACAGCCGTTGGCAGCGCATGCTCCCTCCTCCTTCGCGCCCCCTCCCCCCCAGCATGTCTTGTGCCCCATGGGTGGGGGGCAGAGCCCCAGCTGGCTGCCATTCCTGAGGAGAGAGCGAGACACCTCCTCAGCCCTAGCGCCGCCACCAGCAAAAGCGGCCACGTGGGCAGGGGGAGCGGCCGTTGGCGGCGCGGATGCTCCTTCCTCCTTTGCGTCCCCTCCCTTCCCAAGTGCAAAGGAGGGAGGAAGGCGCCTCCTGCTGTGCCTCAGCCACCATGGCAGCCGGAGCTGAGCCGCCGTGAGGAGCCGGCTTGAG